GTGTAGAGCTGGAAGACGTCTCATTTTAATCAGAAATGTGCGGGCTATAATTATGCCTCATTATGAAAGGTTTTGATTATTTCTTAGAATTTCTCAAAAACTGGTTTTACAGAAAACCGAGACTTCAAGAGCCATGGGCAAAAACCAAATCATTAGTTTTTTTGCGCTTCACTTTGCCTTTCGAATGGCGTAAGAATGGAGGGGCTAGTTATTATGTGGAATCTACAAAATTTGATTTAATGCTAGATGCCTAAAGTCGAGGTGTTTTGCTTTGAAAAGTTTTCTAATCGAGATAAAGCTTGAAAACAGTCTTAAAAACAGTTGTCTATGGTCAGTTTTGCACGAGGAATTTGAATATAATTTTAGAAAAATTTTCGAATTTAATTTGACGGAGATAGAGCTTAGTTTTTGAGCCGGCATGTATTTTTCATTTTTGAGAAGTTCTCATTGTCGTCCAATTTTCTCCATGAAGGGACTTTTAAAACTGAAAAAAAGGTCAGATTCGTGATCAGCAGATCAAGACGCCTCAGAATATGTGTCATTTAAAGGAAAGCAAAACATGTGCAAATTTTGAATTACGCGCACCTTACATCCGTATTTGAAATAATCTTTTATTTAAAGAATTCTTATCTCTTCCTCTATGAGCGCAGATGTCGAAAATAATCTAGTATCACCCGATTATCTAGAGTACTAATTTTTACTCGATTACAACTATTGGGTAAGGACAGTGGAAATCTAGTAGCGATTGCTAGATTTCTTCTAGATGCAACTATCGCTTTATCGGCCAATAATCGATCGATTTAACTATTGCTAGCTACACATGCAGACGCATCTGGTTAAAAGTCCCTTTTCAAACCAGTAATCTAGATGGCAACTAGTCGTGTATCGCCCGATTACAGACGAAATGTATCTAGATTTTCCCATAGGTGATATTTGCTTGGGTAGCAGAGTTAGCTGGCCATGCCGAGCACTGAAAATGTTGAACAAATTTTTACCGAAAAAATCGACGGTAATAGCAGAATCGCAACCGGTCTAAAACAAAGAGTCCGAGCCGGATCGGCCCGTTTAAAACAGCAGACCGTATCAGACCTATCGGATCAAAAATCTTGTTAGACCAGGGAAAAACCTAGAAAAAGCCGGCATGGTTGAACTAAAGATGCTCAAAAGATGAACTGTATCATCAGTACGTGTTTTGAGCATCGACAGCTTACTGAGAAAATGTTCTTTTTTGTTTGCTTGCTCGCGTCTTCTAGATTCCCGAGAAGCTGTTTTTTACTCTTGTCTGCAGAGATCTTTCATTTTGCTTGAAGTAAAATAGCCGTAAAATCACTTTTGATTTTCCGAATTAGTGACTGGGGGGCTCGAATGGTAATTACTGAGTTTCGTTGCTCTTTTACCTAAAGGTTCAATTCCAAATTGAAGAAGTCTGCGAAAGTTCGAAAACAGTCGAATTTCGAGGTCTTGTGCATCTCTGTTTTTATGTAAACTGCTCACATACTGAATGATCTGTAACTTTGCTGAGAGAAGAATTTCACATTTACACTATTTCAACAATGGAAAGTGAAGTATGTAAAAGCCGAAGGTACTTGAGGTCTTGCACTACGTGAATTTCACTAAGCTGCTTTTCCTCTGATCCTCTTGATCAGCCTTATGGCCCTGCTCCGTTTTCCACCAAGTTATCTACCTTCTTTTCGCTGCACTGCGAAGGAATTCGCAGGAATTAAATCCGGTGAGCCGCGTTAGATTATAAGGCGTTGAGCAGCAGCTTCTACGAAATGTTTCCAAACGCGTTCAGCTGCGTTAATGGTGACGAATTACGATGCGAAACGCGTTATTTAGTAAACGGATTTAAACGCGTTAAAATGCGCTTGAGAGACATTAACGTGTCTAAACGCGTTTAGCAATGCGTTTGGTCTAAAAAAGTGTCTGCCTGGGTAATAACAAAAGATTTTCTATCGTAACAAATTTAGCGTTAGCGATGTACTGATAAATCGATTTATCGGTTACCACATCCTTAGTAAAAGCTATATTGAACAGATAAGAGCTCCACTATTAAAAACAACGTTACTTATCTCTAGATGAATCATTGTATGAAATGGATAATGGATACAATAAACAGAGTGAAAATGTCAAAAATACCTCCTCCACCTATAAGTACGTTGGTAAAAGGAATGTTTGTCTGTTAGGATGCAATCCGGTAAGTTCGAACTTTGATACAGTCCTTTACCGGTGAAGGTAGAATAATCTCTAAAAAACATGATTACTTTCTCTTCTATAAGATAGGGTAGTAATCTTCTAAATATAAAATCTAACTCAATAATATCTGTATCTTATTTTCTGACAGTGATTTGTTACAACCTGAAATTTTACACTGGGGATATTAAAGGTGGTGGCACTGATTGTACAGCTATCTTACAAATATTTGGTGAGAACGACTCAACAAAACCTATAATTATTATAAATCGAGATCGAACATTATTAGGTCGCGGCGAGGTAAAGATAAACAATGGATGATCATCGTTAGTCATAACGTATAACTCTCTATGCATAAAGGAGAAATGGAAAAAACAGTTTATCTTGCTGTGTAAAGCTGTACACCGCGATGTATTCATATGTTCTTTCTCTAAGTCAGCCAGTTCGTCTGGTTTTTCAAAAAACTTGAGCTGTCTAAATTCAAGTAACCTATAGAGTTGAGAAATTTTTTATTTTGTGACATGAGTAGTTTTCTCTGAAATAGCTATCAAGTTAAGTCAAGCAGATAGTTTTTTGCACGACCCAATGCTTCTAAATTTTGTAAAAAGTATCGAATTCATGCGACAAAACAAGACATTCATCAGCTCTTTTACTTACTTGACTAAAACTTATAACATTTCCAAAATATGACGGATCGACGTTTTCCAGCTAGTATGTTTGGACCGACTGAACATTATAGCATTGAGTTTCCGCTAAAAGACGTACATAAAATATCAAACATAAACTTAAAAAAGTGTATGAAAGTTGGCTGAACGTAATCGTAAATTTAATCGGTTTTCTCTGAATGCAGGCTTCCATATACCTTTAATTTATCAGGATTTATTTTGATATTAGGAGGAAGAATTTGAGCGAAAAGGTGCTGATGTTGGCCCAATAACAAAAATTATTGTTAGTATTAAAGATGGAAAATCAGCATGGTTTTTAAAAAAGGTGGGTAATTGAACAGCAATTATATTACAGCAAGTACAGTTACACTAAAGTCTTATTACTTGTTAGGTGTGTATACAACGACCAATTGGACCCGCATCTGAGAGAAGAAAATCCGGTATTAATAATTTACTATTATTAGAACCATACGAATTGTAATTCATCTTGTTATTTAGATGAGAATACCACCGATATGCCTAATTCTGACTATGAAGACTATACTTTTACCCTAAATAAATGGTTCAACCCGATTCCAAGTCGACATGGTGCTGTTAACAAAACGCATGAAATATTTCCAGATCAAGAATCAGCCGGGGAAGTAACAGGTATGCAAATTAGAAACACCAGTTTGAAACATGAATTGACCTAGTTTACGACAGACGAGAGTGAAAATTTTTCTTGAATGCAGTTCATGTGTTCAGACTTGTGTTTAGTGTAGAAAAATCTTTATGTGTGCTGATACAATACCTTCATTTTCAATGTTCAATCATCTGTTTTGATTGTAGATGAGCCAAATATTGAAGATTTTGACTCGTGATGTACCATTTGTTGATCAACAACAACTTATAAACATGTAATTAGCCGATAGAAATGAACAGTGTTTGTCTTGTGAGAATGGTGCTGAAATTAACTGTAAATTACGAACAATATAGTCGTTCCTAGTCAAAATATTACGTATTATAATGCTTCAGGATATTAGTAAGAATTTCAATCTCGCTTCTGTCATCAAACTTTATCTTACATTATAAACCTGTTTGATCTGATAAGGGACTTATGATGAAAAGGCGCGAAACATTTTTTCCATTTTATCTTTTATGTGCTTGATGTAATGACAATTTATCTGTTGGAGATTTTGGTTCAAACAAATAAAAAAAGAATACGGCGAGTATTAGGAAGAACTGGAAGCTGAATGTGCTGTATCGTATTTTCTATGGCACTTTTTGACACAACATCGTAGAAACTTGACCAGGATCTCATTTTGTGGAGAATTGACGGGACTATCCAATGATATGGCTGAAAAACTTCTGAAAGAAATTTTAAGATTACTGGATTTTCTAGAAAATCGGGTTTTCAGAAATTTCCATCTCACGACCCCAAGATGTAGCATAACTTTTCTTCAACGAAATATATAGAGCTCGACGCGCTCTTTCATTTGATACAAGTTCAATGTTCTGCGTTAGAGAATGTGGTCCACAAACATTCTACAAAAGAACGAAGATGCATTTTTCCGCTGCGAGGCTAAAATGGCTATGACTTTTTTTCTAACAAGGCTAGAGACTTGCGATTTTCACCATTCGCTTCAGCTTGCGGAGCTCTATATGCGAGATAGATCTAGTCACTGACGTCAAAGGTTGATGTAAATGGCGGTAGGTCTTCTATGGATTGAGCCTATCCGTCGATGCCGAAATTCCACTAAAAATTCAATATCGCTCGGTCTTCTTAGAAGTCCAAAGTTTTTCTTCTGCTATTTCGTCACCCCACTCCTCTAGTATCTACCCTAAAAATCTGAGCCTTACTGAACTGGTTATGCACTAGATAATGAATGGTGAAGTAGCAGCGGAAGTGCCATCTATAATTTGATAATAAACCGACCTCCAGAGTGCAAACCAGCACTGTTTTCTAGCCTGATCCACGTTGTATTTGTTCTGAAATTTTCGTGTCTCTAATTCAAGCCGTCAGAACATAACACACTCAAGATTAAACGCTCATTGATCTAATTCACCACCAAAAAAAATGGCAAGTTTTCTTAAAACTTGAATATCTCAGTAAATACCTGGATTGTAGAGCTGCGATTTGCGGCCAAAAACTTACTATTGATTGTGCTTTTGACCTACATAATTGAAATCAAGTTTGGAGAAAGTCGATTGAGCACGGTTGATCGTGGCTTATCTGCAATGGCTCTTAAGAGAGCATAGTAGCATAAATTAATGCTAATTAGAGCTAATTAATCAATAAAATGTAGCAGAACAAAAAATATTTCTCATTTCTCTCAATAAATATTGTCATATATTTCTCTATCTATCTACGCAAGAACCAAGTTCTTATGATAGAAGAAGAAAGGCCAGCAATTTCTTTAAAAAGTAGTCCCATTTTGACCATTTTTACAAAATTTTTCACGTAATTATTTTCTATACGCATATAGGTTCCTATGAGAATTTTGTGAAATTCGTATCACGTTGAAAACACTACATATAAAGGTGGAAGAAGCCTCATTTTGATTGAGAATTTTACCGGTTATAGCCCTGATAGCGTGAAAAAATGTTCAAAGGAGCTCTTCAGTAAGTGTCTCGAATAAATAAAGAAGTAGGGTTTTCTGTATAAACAAAATAATTTCGAAAACAGAAACTGTTTTTTAAATCAAATATATAAAAATAATCTATTTTTAAAGAAAACGCAAAACGATAACGTGTTTTATCCAATGTATATAATAAGACAACTATGAAAAATAGATGCTGTGTATTATATCCAAATTCGACAATAAAATCTGATAACAGAGTTATCTTCAGTACGAAAGTTAAAGTAAATCGAAAACAAAGCTTGTCATTATTTTTATGTACACGTAGTCACAAGCAATAGGAAGCAAAAAACTAATATGATAGTAATGTAATCAAGACTAAGAAAAGGGTTAGGTAAATAAAAGAGGAATAATATTAATAATATTTTTCTTGGATAGATATACTGTTTTATGACACTTGTAAAGACGCCAATAATGAGAGTTAACCCCTAATAAGAAAAATAAAAGCACGAAGAAAAAAATTGCAAGATCAACTGATTGTTCAACTTTGTTTGGTTTTTTCGGAGCATGGAGTTTTCCACTTTCTTCTGTGTGCTTTCTTGCACGTTTGTTCATAGTTGTTGGTTCGGGTATTTTTGCTGTGGTGTCGTTATTCTTTGGCTGATCATCTCAATGCAAAAGATAGAGATGATAAGTTGTTCATAGGGGTTCACACAGGTATAAAAATCGTGTATTTCAGGCCAGAAAGGGTGACTTTTCTACAGGAATGGCACAATTGTTTTTTTCATTCTGGCGACTTAAGGTACAAATGATATAGAAAAAAATTCTATACCAGAACGCTAGTGATCCTTAATACATGAAAATCTTCTAAAAAAGGATCCTTCCTGTTGGGATCTATAAAAAAACATATAGTTGTATGAAACGTTTTTTGTGATTTTTCACGTATGCTCATTAAAACTTACAATTATTTTCATCCTTATCAGCAGCACAAGTCTTCTTTTGTTTACTGTCATCGAACTTCCAACATCTTTTCTCCTTCGGGGTTTTTAATAAATTTTTGTCAATTTTTGGTATATGCTTACGATAAGGATCATTATTTAAAAATGCATATGCTTGTGTTGTTAAAAAGGTGGCATTTCCTGTATCCATTGTGTTCATCGAATTATAATATTCGTGAATATCGGTTATTCCTAATTCACTTAATGTTATTGAAAAATCGATTTCTTCTATGCCGTCCAACGGCACTTTCTATAAATAAGCTTCAAAATAAGTCTGATTATTCGCCAAGAAATTTTCTTTTATTTCTAATAACTGCTTAGTTAGTGTTGTTGACCCGATGACTCATCGTTTTACTGTCATTTTTTATACAGCGCCCTCTCTCAACTTTCCTACATACGTTTGGCTCTAGGTTTTTTTACAGATAACTAATTTGTGAAACATAGACGTTTTGCGCTACTTTTAGCTTATAAAATGCCGTTAAATTTTTTAGGTCCAAGAAACGTTATTATTGAGTCTACAGAATGCCATAATGGCTACGGTAAACTATAGAAATGATGTCTTTTTTTGTCTCTTGCGTGTTTCTCTCGTTTTACCGTGCGAGCAGAATTGAAAATAAAGTTTTTAACAATGAAATTTTTGTCTTTTTCATCGGCCTTTGTTTTTAATCTTGCGTTAATATAACGGTAAACTGAAGTTATTCTCTCCGGATTTTTAGATGAACATACACTTTTCTCTTTTGGATTTTCAAATGAATTAGTACTATTTCTCCATTTAAAATTTAAGAGTATAATTTTGTTTTCTCTTAACTACATTTTTGTATGCCAATGGATATTTGGTGGTGGATTACTTCTCTGGGCTCCAGCTTAGATATTTTTTATACGGGTTTATTTCTAACAATGTTTTTTATTGGTTTAGTTAATGTCTTCGAAAAAGCAGGTGTCAGTGGATATCTAGCTCTATTACCGGTTGTTAACTGTTTCTATTTATTGAAAATAGTCAAAATAAAGGAAAAACCGTATCTTGTGGTTGTTTTTTTTATACCAGGTGTGAATGTGTTCTTTTGGTATTTTATTATGAATCGCTTACGTAAAACATTTGGTTTACCATTTTGGTCAAGCTTAGGCTTGACCTTTTTATCATCGGTCTTTTTATTTTGGATTGGTGTGAATAATGCACATTATGATCCAAAAAGACTTTCTTTTTCTGAAGAAGAAGAAAGTGGGTAAAAATGGCGTGATTTTGTATGTGTGTGTATGATATGTGGTCAGATTGATGTGTGTGTATATGATACGTAATCAGATATTTTCTAGTATTTTTATTATACCTGCGTTGTTTATTTGTTGTCAGATATACGAGATTGTCTCGTTTTTTACATGTACTTTTTTGCTTATAAATCTTTTTGCGTGCCTATATATGTGCTCCTTTGAAATAGTCCTGTAATTTTCTACTATTTTTGTTAAACCTGATTTCGTCAGATACCATGACTTATATTTCTGATTCTTTTCTACTGGAATAAAATGAATGAACAGCTTGCTTTTACGTTTATATGAGCAATTGTCTCTTAGTTAATGACTGTGTAATATTACTGCTAGTTCTTTAGTCTAACTAAGAGCATGTTCAATCGACAGTTTGCTTCTTTTTTCTTTTATGTTCAAACTTACAGTGATATCGGCTTACGAACAAAGCTTTACTGCTAGGTGTTTTACTATTCTTGGAGTACACCAGACATGAGTAGATTAAAATAAATATTCAGTTCATTTAATCTGTTTTCAACTTTGCGAGCAACATGAACTTTGTAGACTGGCGCAATTTTGTTGTAGTGAAACAACTCTTGTACAATATGAAAAATTTTCTGCACTATACCTATTTCATTTTCTTGTGCTTAAAACTAAAATTTATGCGACATCAATTTATAGACAAATAAAGACTGGACAGATGCTACATTATAGTATAACTGTAACGATAGACAAGCTTGTGTAAAATGTTATACGATTAGTGAAATTGTGTTCAAGGATATTTATGTTGTTTATGATGTAATTTTTGGTATACAACCGATTGCTTTTCGGATAAAAATTATCATTCCAATTGTTATAACTAATACAAGTGTAACTGTAAACAATAAACTCCACTTGACAGCATCACCAGAATCCATTTCTAAGTTAAATAATCTCACTTTTAAAGCATTTTTGTATGATTGTTGAGCCTGATTCCGTGTCTCATTCATTTCTAACAACAAATTATGCAGACGTTTTGGATTAATTAATGTTGACAAATTCCTTTTGTACATGCTGAAATTTTGTTGATCGATGGCATGATTAAATATTGTGCCGTTAGATACAATGTATATACTTTCATTACCTGATAAACAGGTTGAGTCTTCGGAAGACAAAATATAATCATCGCAGTAC